TCTTTAATATACATATATACACATAATATTCACATGAAACATACATATATGTTATCTGTGGGTGTGGGACTGAGGGGGTGTTCGCTCAGGGCACCAAACAGGCTAGGACTGCCACTGCTGACAAAACACAGAATGTGAAAAAGAGGGGAGGTATGATAACAGAACCTAAAGACTAGATATTATAAATATTACATCAACAAGAAAAACAATTAAAAGAACATAAATAGAAATAAACATTAAATATTACAATATTCAATAAAATGGAATGCTAATGTCAAAAAGCACAAAACACTGGGTCAAAGACCCAGTACCATGACAGCTATAGGAGTCACAATCAGTAGAGCCTCTTCAAACTTACAATGATTGACCAGGATGTCCAAAAGAACTTTGTCAGAGTAATGTCACATTGGTCTGCCAGTTTTGTCATGAATTTGAAAGAAGTTCCACAAATTTCACAATTACCACAATTCAAACACGCTACAATTGCAGTGTGAACAATCTGATTTTTTTTTAAATGTTTAAATAACAGTGGCCGCATTTCAGCACTAACCACTTAAATATTTATTAACTCCAGTGTGGATTAGTTGATGACTTTTTAAAGTATCCATATGACGAAAACCCTTTCCACACTGACAACAGACAAATGGTTTAATGCCAGTGTGGATGGCCTGATGTTCTTTCAAGGATCTCGTGCAGCTAAAAGACTTTCCACACTGATCACAATGGTTTAACTCCAATGTGGAGGAGATGATGTTCTTTTAAGGTTCTACGTCGAGTAAAAGATTTTCCACACTGATCACAGCTGAATGGTTTAACTCCAATGTGGATGAGTAAATGTTTTTTTAAAGTTTTACTCTGAGTAAAAGCTTTTCCACACTGACCACAGATAAATGATTTAATGCCAGTGTGGATGAGAAGATGATCTTTTAAGCTTTTGCTATGAGTAAAAGACTTTCCACACTGATCACAGGTGAATGGTTTAACTCCAATGTGGAGGAGTTGATGTTTTCTTAAGTTTCTATGTCGAGTAAATGATTTTCCACACTGATCACAGCTGAATGGTTTAATTCCAGTGTGGATGAGCTGATGTTCTTTTAAAGTTTTACTCTGAGTAAAAGCCTTTCCACAATGACCACAGACAAATGATTTAATGCCAGTGTGGATGAGAAGATGATCTTTTAAGCTTTTGCTATGAGTAAAAGACTTTCCACACAGATCACAGGTGAATGGTTTATCTGTAGTATGGATGCGCTGATGTTCTTTTAACCAGTTACTATGAGTAAAAAACTTTCCACACAGATCACAGCTAAATGGTTTTAATCCAGTGTGGATGAGCTGATGTTTTTTTAAGTTGCCATTTTCAGTAAAAG